CACATAGACACGCACTTATATGATATATATATATATATATATATATATATATATATATATGGTTTATTAATATACGTGCGACTAATAGTCGACTAATGCTCAAAATAAATGACTACTAGTCGATCAGAAAAATCTTTAGTCGAGGGCAGCCCTAGAAATAAAGTTGATTAGTCAAACCGTTCTCGAATGACGCATGAACGAATTTGACGAAGAGCACGCAAATGTGAGGCTGTATCTCTGCAACGGTTTGGCGTATTGAGACCAAGCTTGGTGTGTGTTATAATAAGCATGACCTGAGGCTACCTGCACAGTTTCGTCGCAGCGCCACCTAGTGGTCAGGAGATATGAAAAATGGCTATTTTAGCTTATAACTTCTAAATGGTTTGGCCAAAAATCACAAAACCTGGTCTCTTTAGATTCGGTGGAGCATGCCGAGTCGAACCATACCCAATTTTCCCATGTCAGCCATTTTGAGTTTTATCGTAAAATGCTTTATTTTACGAACATATTGGCATATCGTTACGAAACTCGGTACGTGTCTTTGGCACCATGCCCTGATGGTACTTTAAAAGTTTGGGGTATACAAAACTTATAAAGGAATTTCGAAAGATGCTAATAACTTCTGATTGCATTAGCCTTTTGTAATGAAACTCAAAATATTTCTTGGGTCATGCCGACAACATAGATACCAATTATGCCATAGTCGGCCGAACTTCCTGTCCACCAAACTCCTCCTAGACCGTTTGTCTGATTTTCACCAAATTTGGATCAGATCAGACTGTGCTGACAAAAAGTTATGGATTCCGTGTTGATAGACCGAACTGCTTTTGTATAGCACCGCAACAAAGTTAAGGAATGATGCTAAACTGCATCTGAGGCTGTATCTCTGCAAAGCTTTGACATACTGACACCAAACTCTGTCTGTGCCATTATCGCCTCACACAGAATACACCACCTCAATTTGATAACAGCGCCACCTATTGGTCAAACGTGATAAGCCAATACATCATATTAGCAGTGGTTGTGTTTCTGATTTTTCAGTTATTTTGTCTAAAATCACCTTAAAATGGTTTTAATTACTCATTGCTGCAGTTGCTCTGATGCTCCATGTTTGCTATTCTATTATTATTATCTACTGCACAATATTAATATACCTGTTATAATTTCTTCAAGTTAAATGGAACTTTTATTTTTTTATAGTTTCTGCCAATAGTTTTCTGAAATGAAATTGTAAATTGCTGGTGACTTACCACCATTTCATTCATTTTACAAGCCCGAGTTTTGATTTATTCATCCAAATATTGCCAAGTTCTGTAACAAGCCGCATTATACAGTAAATTCGACCGGATTTTGCTGTTTTGTCTGTGTTTTCTGCATCATGAAAATCATACGGCCGTACACATCAAACGGAAAAAAACAATAATCTTGCAAAATGTTATTACAATATAAAATAATGGTTTCTATTTTAATATCCTTTAAAATATGATTTATTTCTGTGATGCAAAGCTGAATTTCCATCATCATTACTCCAGTATAAAGCGTCACATGATCTTCAGAAATCATTTTAATATGATGATTTATTAATAGAATTATTATCAGTTGTGCTGCACAATATTTTTTTGGAAACTGCGATACTTTTTTCAGGATTCTTTGATGAATAAAAAGTTACAAAGAAGAGCGGTTATTTAAAATAGAAATCTTTTCTAACAATATACACTAGTGTTCAAAAGTTTGGGGTCAGTACATTTTTCTTCTTTTTTTTTTTTTTTTTAAAGAATTGTTTTTTTCTGTATTTTTGATCACATAAATGCAGCCTTGATGAGCAGAAGAGACTTCTTTAAAAACATTACAAGTCTTACTGATCACACACTTTTGAACGCTAGTGTAGGTTTGAATAAATCTGTCATGAGAAGAAGTCATAACATCCACTGATATCATAACTTCAGTAACATATAAAAACAATTCTATCATTAAAAACTTATAATGCATTTTTATTATAAAAACGGCTTCAAGTGCAGTTGCACATTGTAATATTATGATTAACATAATATACTGAAACTGAATGCATATTTATTCAAATGAATCAAATTGAGATGTGAATCTAAATCAAATCATGAAACTAGTCTCAATCCCCAGCCCTAATATCACCCTTTAATCGAATCTTCCTGAAGAAGAAAGTCCGCTCGAATCACTGTTCTCAGATTGTGCTGTGTTTGGATGCTAGAATGATTGGTACAGTGAGGAGGAGGTGGACATTGTGACATATGAGGAGTACGATGAGAAGATGAACATCAGCCTCTTAAGAGCCAAGGCGAGACGGTGAGTCCTGAGCTGAAAGCATCTCAGATTCACACTGAACCGCTGCTTTATTCAGTAAACATCTCTCTTCTCTGCAGGAGAACACAGCAAACAGCTCAGAGTCAATGGCTTGTAAGTCTCTGTTCTTTCTTTACCTCCGTCGAGTTTGTTTTGCTCACTGAATTATTATGAGGTGAAAAGCAAAAATAATGTGCAAAAACAATTGATTCGCTAGATACAGCGTATTTAACCTGTTGTGTTCAGTGAAAACCTGATCTTCATGTTTTTTGCAGCTGAAATGTAAATCAGCGGCCCATCATGCAGTGCGGCTGATGTCTGATCTGCCGCTGTATAAGCGAGCGTGGTGTCTGAACCGAACGCTGAGAGAACGGAAGCAGCTCGCTGAACTACAGCAGAGTTTGGACTCGCTGAAGAGGACGCTGGGTGTTGAAGACGTCGTCATGATGAGCACTCAAGACCTGCTCCGAGAGGTGCGGCTAAACCCACTGCTTCTCCTCAGATCTCTGCAGGACACTTCAGCTTCATTGACATGTTCCTGCTCTGTCTCAGGCTCGTCAGATGATCGGAGCTCTTGAGGAGCACAGCACAACTCTGATGGCCAAGAAACGGGCCTTGATTCGGCAGCATTCTCTTTATCAGACTCTGATCTCACAGCGCTCCGGTGCAGACGGTAAATCATGAGCGTTACACACCGTACGTGTGTGTGTGTGTGTGTGTGTGTCTGTGTGTTTGAGTCTGTGTCTGTCTGTCTGTCTGTGTCTGTGTGTGCATGCGAGAGTGAGTGTGTGAAGAGTGTGTGTGTGAGTGTGTTTGTGCGTGTGTGAGAGAGAGAGAGTGTGTGTGTGTGTGTGTGTGAGAGAGAGAGAGAGAGAGTGTGTGTGTGTGTGTGTGTGAGAGAGAGAGAGAGAGAGTGTGTGTGTGTGTGTGTGTGAGAGAGAGAGAGAGAGAGTGTGTGTGTGTGTGTGTGTGAGAGAGAGAGAGAGAGAGTGTGTGTGTGTGTGTGTGTGAGAGAGAGAGAGAGAGAGTGTGTGTGTGTGTGTGTGTGAGAGAGAGAGAGAGAGAGTGTGTGTGTGAGTGTGTTTGTGCGTGTGTGAGAGAGAGAGAGTGTGTGTGTGAGTGTTTGTGCGTGTGTGAGTGTGCGCG